GATGCAAAGAAAAACTGCATCCTATCCCAATCGGCTGACCTATAGTGCCAAACACGGCAGGCAGACTGCAGAATGCAACTGCGATTTCAGCCTGAGTGGCACCACACTCCGGACAAGACAATGGTCCAAGGAGCCTAAAGGGACGTCGACGGAAATCTGATATCAGTCCGGGTGAGTGGTCAGCAAAAGGTCCAACAGGGAAGGTGCATGATCCTCCACATCTGGAATCCGCGTAGGCGAAGTAACCAGTTGTGTCAGACCATATGACAAGGCCGTGGTAGCTCAGATGGTTAACGCTCGCTGTAAATATAACAGAACGCGAGTAACCCGGGTTCGAGCCCCGCCGGCACCAATGAAATTGTTAATTGCAATTTTAAGTGCTGATTTACCACGTGCTCGGCGGTGAAGGAAAACATCGTGAGGAAACCTGCATGTCTGAGGAATAAGAAAAAAAAATATTTCGAAGACATGTGAAGTTCGCCAACACGCATTGGGGCAGCGCGGCGGACACTTCCTTGCCCTAAAACCCCCTCAGAAATGAGGGGGAGGCCTGTGCCCAGCAGTGGGACGTATATAGGCTGTAACTTTTATATGCCAAGGCAAAATCATGAACGGATCTCCCCGCATGATCGGTTAAACGTGAACCAAGCCATTCGGCGTGATGGGCGTTTAAAGTCGCCGAGGATCGTGATCTCTGCGAAGGAGATCTGCTGTAGCAACGAATCTGTAGCCATTTGGACGTGGTCAAAGAGTCGGTCTGTTTCGGCATTACCGCTATGGGACCTATAGAGGCACCCGTAGACGCGCGGATGGTCGTCGCTGTCTACGCGTAGCCAAAGGATGGACAGGTCCGAACCTTCAAGTCTGCCGAGGCGTCGAGAACAGATGTCCTCTCTGACGTAAACGCAAACTCCAGCCCGAGGCACAAAGGAGTGTTCCAGTTTGTACCCCGGGTAGGAGAGATACGAGACATCCCCGTTAAATACCGTTTGCACTTTAGCTGGTGCGTAAGTTTCCTTCTTGAAGGATACACTTTTTCTCCACTTATTTAGCACTTCTTGTGGCTTAGTGTTGGGATCTGTCGATTGTATTATTATCAATGACTTATATGATTTTGATGCGACAACGTTGGCATAAGTTGCTTTTACGGGCAAAACAGAAGGTGCTAATTCAGTTTTAAAGTGTTTTAAGAAAAAAATTTAAATTGTTTTAATTGTTGTAAGAAAAGATATTCTAAAATATTTTAAGACTATTGATATTAAGAAAACCGCCGATCTGTGGCGGATTTCCGTTAAAGTTATTGCGTCTATAATAGATGCAATCGCACCTCAACTATCTATCATTTTTAATACTAGTATCAAATCTGGTGTGTTTCCTGATTTAATGAAGCATAGTAAAGTAATACCTTTATTTAAATCTATCAATACATTGGACTTCGCTAATTTTAGACCTATTACAGTACTGCCAACAGTTAGTAAAATTTTTTAAAAAATTATTCTTGATCAAATGTTAATAATTTATTTCATAAAAATCAATTCGGTTTCACAAGGGGTCGCTCGACAACTGATGCTGGTATTGAGCTTATTAAATATATCTTTAATACATGGGAGAATTCACAGGTTGCTTTGGGTATATTCTGTGACCTATCCAAGGCCTTCGATTGTGTTCACCATGAAACATTAATCAGGAAACTTCAACACTACGGTGTAAGAAGTGATGCTCTTAAATTAATTATTTCATATTTAAGTGACAGAACGCAAAAAGTTGTCATTAATAGTATGAGTTCTTCCGGGTCGACTGTACAAATGGGCGTGCCTCAGGGCTCAATTCTCGGCCCCTTTCTGTTTCTTGTATATATTAATGACTTACCTTACATAGTAGGGGATAACCATGATATAGTATTATTTGCTGATGATACTTCATTAATTTTCAAATTAAAACGACAGTTATTAAATTACGACGAAGTAAATAATTCTATAGCTAAGTTAGTCAATTGTTTTAATGTTAATAATTTGCATTTAAATGGTACTAAATATAAATGTATGAAATTCGTAATTCCTAATGTCAAACATAATACGAATGTAATTTTAAATGGGGAAGAACTGAGTCTTGTTGATACCACCATTTTTCCTGGAATCACACTAGACGCAAATCTTCAATGGCTCCCCCATACATCAAAACTAGCTAGTGGACTTAGTTCTGCAGCATATGCTGTAAAAATATTAGAACTCTTACCAGTGTTGAAACAGCTAGAATATGTAGTTTACTTTAGTTATTTCCATAGCATTATGTCGTAAGGTATTTTGCTATGGGGACACGCGACTGACACTATACCCAAAGTTCAAAAATTTTATTAAACTAAGTTTTTATAAAAAGGTTTATTATAATATTAAGGAATTTATATGGTTTAAGATATTTATTTCTCAAAATAATTAAAATTCACTTACATGAAAAATGTACAACACTAACATAATTTTATATTAAACGGCACGACACACAAAAAAACTGATAACAAAATAAAAATACACCACTTTTTATAATCTAAACAAATAATGTTAAAAAGTTATGAGTACATAATAAAATAATAAAAGAAGGCTACCAAAGATTAAGATAAACATTCATGACGGTTACTTTATTTGGTTCGATCGCCGAGTGCAAAATTATTCATATACCGACTTTTAGCTTCATTTAATAGAATTTACGTTGAACAATAGATACTGGAAGTGATATTATGTATTTTTGATTAGCGCAATTATTACTTGGTTGGATAATTAAATGACCTAATGAAATTTAATAACTATATCTGTATTTATATGTATACTTGTTAAGAATCCTTTTTTAATGTTTTGTTTTATTTGCTTTTTTATTAGTTATTAGTACATAAATACATATATATTTAATTATATTTTTATATACATATATACACACATATATACATACATATAGACACATATTTATATTACTATAAAAGTAAGGCTTATCAATCATAATTTTATTAGATCGAAGCTGATATTATGCTAATTTATTTACATTTTAGCATTTTAATTTACCTACCAATATTATAACCACCCAATCAAATTAAGCACAATTTCACGAAGAAGTAAACCACCTTGATTATGTGTTTAGAAAATAATGTTTTAGTAATCTTTTAAAGGTTGTCATAGATTTGGCATCCCTTATCTCTTTTGGTAGGTTGTTGTAGATTAAGACACCTTCATTTAAAACAAATTTTTTACCGCTGTTAGAACGTACTGTGCGTAGTTTTAATTATCTGTAAAGTCTTGGTCTTAGTTTTGTTATAGGTTTATTTTTTGTAAAACTTAATTCTGTTTGAATGTTTTTATTTAGTATTTTACGTACTAAAATGCAAGTTTAATATTTATATGTTAATGATATATTCATTATTTTAGTGTCCTTATAAACTTGGGCTGTTGGAGTAAGAAAGTCATAATTAAACTTAATCAGTTTATTCTGTGCTACCTGTATTGTTTCTATATTGGTTTTTGCTGCTGTGCCCCAGACTTCTGTATGGTGGTTTGACCAATAAATTATAAATAGTGTAACGCACACTACGTGGGAAACATTTCACTATATTTCGTGGTGCGCCAGTGAGAAAAACCAATTTAGATTTAATATTATTTGTATGAGACTTAAATGTCATACGATTATCCAACCGGAGACCAAGGTATTTTTCATTATCTACTTTAGAAATTGGTTCACTCTTTATTGTGAGAGGCTTATAGTTACCAATTTTTTTTATTTTTTGATATAAAAATTACGTAGTGTGTTTTAGTAATATTTATAGTTAGACAGTTAGATTGAAACCACATATTCAATGTGTTGAGATCTAATTGGGCATCGGCAATCAATTCGTTAATTGAATATCCATAGTAAAACAGACTTTTGTCGTCCGCATATAATTACCTTTTAATTCTATATCCTTAATATTATTGATGTAAATCAGAAAAAGCAGCGGTCCTAATAAGGAACCTTGCGGTACTCTAAAAGTTATTAATTTTGGTTGACTTTGATTAGAGCCAATATTTCCTACTTGATATCTATTGCATAAATATGAAGCAAAAATATTCAATGCAGATCCGGAAATACCCATATGTTTCAATTTACACAGTAACAATTCATGACTAACTGTATCAAATGCTTTTTTAAGGTCTATAAAAATACCGAGTGCTATTTGTTTTCCGTCTATGCAAACTTTGATTAGATTGAGCCTTAATACAGCTGCAAATTATTCTAAATGTAGTAGTTATATATATATATGTGTATGTATACAAATATATGTTAGTAGTATGAATTTTGTTAACAAGTAACATCTAATGCATAACAAACACAATCAATACATAGATAAATACTTACGTCTGCCATCCAGAGGGGTTGGCACAGACTACTTCCATTTAGCACGATCCTGACACACCTCTTTCAACTCCTCCACATTCATATACCTACGCATACATGCTCGTCGGTTAAGGGTACTCTTAATTTTACTCATTTTCAATATGTCGCCAATTTGCTCGATAAATTATCGCCTAGGACCTTCCTTTTTGACTCTGCTGTTCACTTCTGCAACATAAATTTGCTTTGTCACTCTTTCCTAAGTCATCCTTTCTACATGACGAAACCACCGAAGTATGCCTTGCTTAATCTTGGTCACAACATCGTCTTGCAAACCACATTCTCCTCTTATCATACAATTTCTCATCCTGTTACTCAGATTCTGCCCTAACATACACCTTAACGACCACATTTCTACTGCGTTTATTCCTTACAATCAATATTTTATTAATTTATCGTAAGGTACAACGCTTTGCAATTCTTTTGTGAGTATGTGTCCGTGTTTGCTAAATTATAATGATTGAATTGAACAATTGAATTATTTGGTCACAATTACTCGTGTACACATAAATATTTAATGATTTATTTTATATAATTTTACTGACGTACACTTTATATTAAGTAAGAGTATAATATTATTTTTATTGAAGGTGGCTGTGGAGCTCAATTGGGCGAAGACATTTGTGACCCTAGCGAATTGAAGATATGCGTTGAATCGATTCCACGCACTCCTGTTGGACTACCAAGGAATAAAGCTGAACTTGACGCACACTGCAAGTAAGTCGATGCTTTGAATTTTGATGGTAATTAATACGCTACATCTGAAAACTTTCTAATGTAAAGTACGTCACTTATATGCGGGTAATACGATCCGTAGCCTTGTACGAGGCGGGTGTTTGGACTGAAAGACTGGCCATCCGACGCTGCTAAATTCTACAGTGTGCAGCGGAAGATGGCCTTACGGATCGTCCGGGGATACCGCATAATATCGTTTGAGGTGAGACAATCCTGGCTCGGTTTGCACCTTTAGACGTTCTAGTGCATATGGAAGCGAGTGTGTACGATCAGAATCGGGTCCTCCGCCAGAGCAGCGGGGGCGACCCGGTGAGCCATTGTGAACGACTAAACGCGTTCGCATAGTAACCATACAAGAAACAGAGTCTACGGGCTTGAGGACGCTCGGGGCGGGGATGTCCAATACCTAGAGATATCATTCTCAAGGAGGACGATCTCTTGGAAATAGTAGCGAGACATCATGATTACACTGCGAGGGTACTGGAGGCAGGCTGAGTACGTAATTTAATAAAGAACAGTCAGACCGGGGCCCGTCATATACGATGATGGTGACGGTGAATGCTTTTAGTCGGTGGGAGTACGGCACAACCTTTTCGTTCCCCCCCCCCGCAGTGCGGAGGGTATCTCATATATATAGTATGAGGATTTCCTCAGAATAAACGGCACAATAAAACGGCATTTGCTCATGTAAAAATAGTGGTTTTTGGCGCGATTGCTGCTTTTAAGATTCCGGATATGTGCAAAAAAATCAGTTATTGAGTTTTTCTGTCAAGAAATACTTAGTAGCAGCCTGGAGTCGTGAAGTTGTGGGTGTTCCACCCCCGGGCCTCGAAAAGTACGCAAAACCATTGTTCTTGTGGCTGATCTCTCACCGATTGTGTCCGATTTCTGTCCCATCGGACTACAAGAGTGAAGGAATAGAGATTGCACCTATGTTTGCGATCACTCCCGTGCACTATAATCCAGTCCTGCGTAGGTGACTATGCAGGAGACTGGCCGCCGTGACTGAAATTCGGTCTGGGCGACATTATAATCCTGCCGCAACGATTTGATCTGCCGAAACCGCATAAAATAACATTTTCATATCTATTTTTGTTGGTCTTATTAAAAAGACAAGCCATCACGAAACTTAAGTCTCTTATTAGAGTATAACCATGTTTCTTGTTAGACTCCTATAGTTGCACGCTTTGAAACCGTTGGAGTTTCTTCGAAGAGATGTCATAAGTAGTCATTTATTTTAACAAGGATACGCATATTACATATCCTTCACTGTAACTTACCGGTGATGTTCGCATACAAATAAATGTATTCTGAATTAATATAAAAAAGAACCCAACATAAGTTTATGAAAACTAAAGTGCTGTAATGGATAAGCGACATTACGAGAGGTATTATACACATAAGTATTTCTATTAGATACGGATGGCAGCTCTGAAGTATGTTTGTGACGGAGAGGAAAACTTCTTAACTATATTGGCTAGTCAAACAGAAGAATACATTAGACCGAAGAAGCTTTGCCGAAGTAGATTATTAATACGAATTTGAAATCATGGCCATGGTTTGGGATATTAACCTTAAAAGATAAATATATCTGATAATCTGTTATGGATTATTCAAAAAGTAAAATTTCACAACAGTACCTAATTATCATTATCATAATAATGATTACCTTGTAGTCATATATGGAAGAGCGATGACTTCTTGAAGTAATTTCTGATTTGATACAGAACAGATACATACACACATACACACACACACACACACACACACACACACACACACACACACACACACACACACACGAGAGAGATCGCGAGATTTATGTATATAATCAAGAATACAACATGTAAATTTATATTGACATAAGTATGTAATTCCGCGACAAGATTTTATATCGTATGAACTGAGTAATGTAATAAATTGACGGATTTTATTTAAAGTTTATTTTCTTCTTTTTATTTCTTTTATTTATAAATCTTCAGTTTCTGACTGATTGAAATTTACGATTTGATTTTTTTATGGTGTTTACATAAATATTATATATATATATATATATATATATATATATATATATATATATATATATATCTTCCTTACACATTATATTTGTTTTTTTTTTTTGGTTCTACACTTTCTGGAAAAACTTGACTTGTCTAATGGTTTATAAAATATTTCATTCATTGATTGGGGTCTATCAAAATTCCACTGCTGAACATGGCAGAATTTTTAAATTGTTGGCTTGGTTGGGTATATTATTTTAAGTTACTATCAAGATGTTACTGTTCTCTCTTGTTCCAATTTTGGGGGACACCTTCGGGATGATTTTGGATAGCGATATATATTAAGATAATATTGCCACTTATTTCTACGGATAAGTTATATGAACCGTTTTAAATATAACCATTTTAAATGTATTATTTGAAAGGTGCTAAATATGCAATTCTATATATTTCGCTTTGTGTTCTAAATCAAAATTGCTGACGCTTATTTTTTTATTTATGTACAATGTTTTAGAGCTTATCAAACGGGAATGACATGTATGGACGCATGGATGAAACGCTGCCTGCCCACCGATGGTCAAAAATTCATACAACAGCAAATAGGTGGAGCGCGTGCTGTTATGCGCTTTCTTTGCAGTAACGAAACTGCTCTAAGGAAGGGTAAGAAGTTTATTTAAAATTTATCTAGTTTAGTTTATTATTATATATTGAAGTTTATTTAATATTTGAGTTCTCATCATTGAGTTATAATTGATATACGGTTATATATTCCCAAATGCTCATATGTAAATATTTTACTGCGTTTGTCGTAACATATTAGTACTTTTAGGTTTTGTATATATTCTCTCCAATATTTTTGTGCTGGCACGTTTCTTTCCATAAATGGCATAAAATATGAACATTTCTTCTTTCATCTCTTAAAATTAGATCGACCGTGCTGAGATTTTTTTATACCAGTGGTAGAAATTTGTCTAAGAAGGGCCTTTATCCATATATGTCGTTTAAAGTCTAAGCGATACGTTTTTAAATGTTTTTCTTTATAGAATGGGGGTGAAAAACGGGCATATAGTTCACCTGATAGTAAGTGGATGCTGTGGTCCATAGACATCTAAATTTATCTTCGATTAAGAATCAAAATGCAGATGCATTGTAACCCCCACGACAACGATAGAATACCTCGTTTCTAATTGAAAGGATCTCCGGTTCTCAACACTCACCATACAAAACACAGCACATTAGGCAGCTATTTATACGCTGGCCCGCGTAAAGAACGTTATTTTAATTCTTAAAAAAATATTGCACACATATGTTGCCGACACAGATCTATTTTTCAATGAAACACGATATTTAACAACGAACGAGGTTTTTTTTTCATGAAATACCAACCGATTTAATTAATTCGTGGCTTAAAATATGTACACAGAATTTCTGAAAGAGTCGACGTGCTGGGCCGTCGTGTCGCCAGACTGGTCTCGGTGCGTGGACGAATTGCATGTTGCCGTTCGAGACATCGCGGAACGATCTCAGCAACTTGCTTACTTCAGCAGAAATTCTGAGCTTTGTTGGTAAGAAATGATTTAAAATAATGTTATATAAAGTATTGGGAACATTTTAAAAGACTTATTGCTACTGTTACTGTTATGAATTTCATCATTATCATACAATCAGTGTGTTGTATGATAATGAAATTACCTTCATAGGCATTCTCAAAGGAATGCCCCGAAACGGGGTCCTGATATAATTTTATAAAATTGAATCTAAAATTACCCTTATAATAATTTAAAGAAAAGTAACATTTCCGTAAATATATTATATTAGTTGTTAAATCCGGTATTTTATGTATTTTACTTTCTTTTAAATGTCCAAATGAAAGGCGGGAAAAATTATAACCTATAGCGCGCCGATACTTACCTATGTCACCCGATGTCTCGCTATCACCTCTCGTACAATACCCCACCTGTATCACGGGATCACGCCACCTGCCATGCCTTGGCATCCGGTACAAGCAGTCCACTAGCCGACTAGCTCTGAGGGATATGTAAGTTATCGAACGCTCCCGCTGCGCTTTGCGAAACGTCGTTTTATGAACTTACCTTATATTGTTACTATTATTTTTAATTTCTCTTATTTTTACCCACATTCATAACAATATCATAATACCACAGGGATATATTAAATATCACCCATATGAAAGAATCTACGAGTATGGGCGAGGCCACATGATCAGCACCTTGACTTTTGATAAAAATTATGACAATGATATAATATAATGCGAGCGATATAATTTCCATAGATTAGTAATGTGGTACATGTCTTATATATGTGTATGATAGAACTACGCTGCAGCGTATTTTAACTGCGGCATGAATGGATTGGCTCGACCGGGAACAGATCACAGAGAGTAACGAGAACCGAAAACACTTAAAGGTGACTTTGATTCTTAATAGAAAAACGAGAATAGACGTGGGCTTCGATAGACCGCAGCATTCACCTACCATCGAGTTATTATGTGCACATTTCTCTACCCTAATTACAAAAAACAAACTTAGCATTAAAATAATATCGCAAAATAATTTCTAGTGCCCGCGACGAGTTTATCACTTGTGTATCGTACGTCGGACGTTCGTGCTCAAACAATGGGGGGACGTTGTTACGGCGCATGGCGTGGGTACTGTCGCAGGACGTGGCGGCGTGCAGCCAGCAGCCTCGGACGTACTGCTCCGCACCGTCACCATCGTTCGCGACACCGCTGCTCGCCGCAATAACTAGTGTGATACTTTACCCAGCACAACTATAAATGTATGATAGGAATATATTTAACCAATTCAAATATCAGCAACTTTATTAGTGTTGATGTCACAGGAGTAAATAAAAATATCTGTTATTATAATAACATAATTTTATAAATGAGGCATTGTTATTTATGTGTGAATCTTATTAATAAATATTTAAGGCATACTAATATTGATGTGGCGAAACAAAATCGCTCTATAATAAATTATATATGTAACAATGTGCCATTTCATTTTCACCTGTTTCTTACGCTGCCACCATGCGGCAGCTTCATTATTATCGACAGTCTTTTAAAATATCACTGCTAGGCACAACATGCCTGGATCGCTACCACTCTCTATATTGCCGTATACCAATTTGTGTGGTATGAGAGCCAGTACATTTGCAGGCTGTAAACAATTCATATAGGTCACGAGTAAAAAGTTTGTAGATGTTCTTTGTTGTGAAACACTTTTGCTGCTATGAATAATGAAGGAGAAGTTATACAAGCTATAAAGTGTTCACACATGTGGTGGGAATCTTTGTTTGTGAATGGGTACTGTTTTCTGATACTCTTATTTATACTTAACTATATATTTTTTATACACGTTTTTTGTTTCACTCCTTTTCTTCGTCCTTTTATTCCACAGCCCTTTTATTTCAGTCAACAGTGCTCTTTCTTATGGGACACTTTTACAAAAATCTTTCTGATTAAGAAACTTATATAAACATTTCAACAATATTATTTTATAGTATGAAAAATAAATCTAAATATTGGTTAGTTTTTTAAATGTGGAGTGTAATACTTGACACAGTAAGTACTAGATAAAGATGAGCAGGTGCACGGTAATCCTAAATGTTTCGTTAAATTTATACAGGTACGAGCAGTTAACTTATAGTTAATTATTGACTGAGGGTCATTTGTCATGGAAAATTGGCGATAAAGGAGACAATAATTTTTGCGCCCACTAGAAGTATTAACGTTTCTTAATGGTATTTACACTAAAAAAAAGACACCAAATTATAATAGTAAACGGCCTATAGATTTTTCAAAAATATAAACGGAATCAAGAAATCTGAAAAAAAATTTGTTGTTTTGATATTCGTGTTCTAATCATTGGCTAAGGTAATGTAATATTTAAAAAAAATACGTGTGGCACTTGGTGACTGCCGCGGTAAAGCTATTGCATAGCATTTTTTATCAACTTATGCAATTATAATTATTTATTTATTTTATTTATGCAGTTAAGTCTTTGATATTAAATAAAGTTACACTTTTTGAGCGTGGTGACCGATAAGAAAACAATTTTTTTCTCTTATTGAATAAATGAGAAGTTAATATTGTTTAAAATATTTTTAATATCTTACAATACATGTAGGTTATTCAGGAATTTTTATCATTGAGTTAGTAACTAGTGTACACGCATACGTCTAGTCGCACGCACACAAACACCGTGCCGAACTCTGCCGAGTGCCGAAGTCTGCCGAACTGAAACGACGTTAGACGATGCACGGCTTTCAACGCCACACCTCCGTGCCCGTCGGAGTGGGGAGCGTGAGGTTTTTTTCGTTACGGAATTTCTGGATTCGGTCCCCGCGCTCAAGGCCCGCGATAGAAGCTATGCAATAGCTTAAAAATATTGTCTTAGATATGTGCCGTGATAACTCTGAAAAAATCGACTCGAGTTAAAATTCAGGAACTCGATTTTGTGTCAATTTGTCACAAACTATTTTTATAATTGTTCTTACATACAACACAATTATTATTACTACACTTAATAGGTAGTTGTATATTATTTTTGGTATGCGTATCGACAATCTTCATAAAATAATATCACTCTAACGTTGTGACGTAAGTCTTAATGTTATTAATAATTTGACTACCACAAAGTATATATAATCAATTTATATTATATATAACATTAATTGATACAACATTATAAAAATTTTACCTAATATCAATTTATTTATTACATAATATATCAATAAATTGCTCGAATTAGTAAGGCGATTTCATCACTAAATTGTAGCAAACACTGCATTGGCCGTAAAATAAAGATACGATTCGAGTAGAATTTTGTGACTCGAGCCACTCGGGTTAATTTATGTATGTATGTCATTCTAGTTGTACACTAGTTTTTGAGTAAATCGACTATTTTCAGAAAAGTTTATCACTAGAGTTGAGAGTAGCGATTTTTAAATATGTACCTTTATACAACATATTTAAAAATCGCATCTTTATACAATGTGGCAACATAAAATTAAAATCATAAATCAATATCATAAATCAAACTAAGTTCAGGTTTTATACAACATGCCAGATGCAAGTTTGAATTTGGATGCAACTTCTGATGTCACCCGCAACGACTTATTATACTCGTATATACAAGTAAATTAGTGAAGTAAAATCTATATAGCACCCTCTGAACCTATACGATGCGCCGAGTTAACTCGGTTAAATTTATTTTCTATTGATTATCGAGTTGGACAAATTAACTCGATTCACTCGAGTGAAATAAAACATGAAGTTTCTAATTACAAGCATTACTAGACCAATGTTTAAGAAAATATTGATATTATCAATTATCAGGAAAGTTAGCCAAATATTAATTGCACAGTACATATGTTTTTCTCTTTTTATTTTCTGTCATAAAATTTGCAAATAAAACTGACGAGTTTAGGTTAATTAATATAAAAGTTTATTAATTTACACCTATTCTAGGTTGCGAAAATCTATTATTAAGTTTGTAGATTTTACCTAAAACAAATACAAATAACAAACAGGTCTTAGAACCTTATTAGTTTGTTAAAAGTGACAAAGTATTAAGTTTATGTTATTAGTAAAATCTAAATTAAATAATAAATAGAATAAATGCACAAAAGAAGTTATTATAATGTTAAAAGAAAATTAGAATCTTTGGGTCGAGGGACTTAAAGAGGGTTTTTGAAGAGCAATTCATATAACTGCATTTGTGTACAAATAGGTACTTTATGTATTCAGCAAGTTGCTTAATACTAAATGGCTTTTTTGTTAAGCCAGACACGGATCCTGGACCAGCCATAGTAGATAGTCAATATAAATGGTACATATATTTATGTGTAAAAAATGTAGTAATTATTTGTACTAGAAGCAAATACAAAGTTTAATAATAATAGTTTGCATAAAAACGTGTAATGGTTGTATCTATTATGCTTAGACAGCTGTGTTGTTCACTCTGCAGAAAGGAATATTATTTCGTCATCTAGAATCAGATATACTTAATATAACAATAATATTGTTGCGCGAATAAGTCGACGTTATGTATCCGGCACTAGCGCCATCTAGGGTCAGGGACGAGAGCGAGGGGAGCTTTCCAGAAAATGACATCACTAATCTTTCAACTGACAGCGTCATCTAGTCTCGGAACGAAGAACTAAGCTTCTAGAAGTCGACACTCGAACTCTCGGCCCCTTGCGCGTTTTTAATTGAATATTCTGGATGATTCGGTGCTAATTTGTATTTATAGGCGCTGCAAGATGCGATCGGGGAAGTATTGAATTCGACGAGACAAGCGAAGCTTCGGAGCGAAATAAAGTGAATCAGTGTGATTAATTATTAGTGTTTTAATTTTTAATTGGTGTAAAGAAAATTAAAGTGTTAATTTAGGTAATTCTATCGGCAATTTTTATCGTCACGAACCTCAAGCCCGTAACAATTGGCGTCAAAAGTGGGATAAAATCATGCCTATTTTACCTAAGGAGGAAACGGAGGGTGTCCGTACCCGAAGTCAACGCCAACAGGAGACGGGCCAAAGGAGATTTGGTGGTGCAACGCCGCCGACGTCGGAGGGCCAGCCACTGGCTGCAGGCCCGTCAGTAGCTCCTACATCCGCAGCACCCGACTTAGGTGCTCTGATGGTGATGCTGCAGGAACAGGCTCGCCGACAGGAGGAACAGGTCCGTCGGTTTGAAGAGCTGCTGCGGGGCGGACAGGATGAACAGGCCCGTCGACAGGAGGAACAGGCCCACCGACAGGAGGAACAGGTCCGCCGACAGGAGGAACAGGTCCGTCGGTTGGAAAAGCAGCTGCGGGGCGGACAGGATGAACAGGCCCACCGACAAGAGGAACAGGCCCGTCGGTTGGAAGATCAGATGCTCCTTATGAAGGAAATTCATGCTACCTTCGGAAAAGGGACACGGGAGGTGAAGGATAAGGTTGCTCAAAATGACAACCGCCTGTCGGAAGCTGAAACCCGAATCGACCAAGTAAACAATCGGGTTGACAACGTAACGGCTGACACGAAGAAATCACTGGACGAACTCAAACTTGGAGATGGAACTTCAGCTCCCGTATTAGCTACAACACCTTCGCTACGTGGGTTCAAGGTGCCACCGTTCGACGGGACTTCTTCCTGGTCGGCCTACAAAATCCAGTTCGAAGCTGTTATGAAGGCGAACGGCTGGAATAAAAGTCAGGCCATGTCTGCTCTCACACTAGGCCTGCGCAACCAGGCCTTAACAGTTCTGGAAGCTCTCGGTGAGGAAGTGACTTATGAGTAACTCCTTGAGGCATTGGAGGCGAAATATGGCGACGCTCACCTAAAACACGTCTTTCGTGCGCAGCTTAAAGATCGCGTGCAGCGCATCAACGAAAACCTGCAGCAGTGGGCTCTAGAGGCGGAGAAGCTGGTGGGAAAAGCATACCGGTCTGTACCTGCGCTCATTGAAAGGAACCTGGTACAGACATTCATCGACGGCATCCGCGACCTGGAACTCAGAGCTGCTGTGAGGCTCGGGTACCACGAGACACTTAAGGACGCCTTGGCCCATGCACTGGAGGTGGAAGCCGTGCGGCAGGATCATCGTTTTCATCGCGTCAGGGAGGTTGCAGCAGCTACAGTTCGCAACCGCAACAAAGGATACAGTCCTAGGTGCTATGGCTGTGGGGAAAAGGGCCATCTTCGATCCAGCTGCCCTAAGCGAACCGTAGAAAGGGAAGGTGATCGATCTCGAGAGGGTAGTGCAGCTAACGGCACCGCCTGGCGG